GACAGGTTGCACCTGAACCAGAATGGGACCACCATTCTTGTGGGGAGGTTTGTTAGTGTTGTTTGGGGAGTGTTTAAACTAGCTCGTCAGGGGGTGGGATTCGAAGAGAATGTGCAGCAGTGGGTAACCAGTAGAGTCACAGGCTTGGCTCTTCCTTTAACTCATCTGAAGAGCCATTGCTGACCAGTATCCAGAATGAAAAACCAATTAGCAAGTGGGATCTAATGGACCAGCTGGTGGTCATCCATTTGCCATCTGTCTGCTTGGCCCTAACTTACAGTGTGACCACCTCTCTGAACATGAGCAACTGGCACCAAAAAAGCAGCCAGCAAATGAGGATTGGGAATGCAAATTGGGGGAAGTGTCTCCAGCCAGTCCACACCTTTTGGATGCTTTGCTGCAAAGCCCACGGACAGAGCCCAGCTCCCTTCTTGCCCGGTGGAAGTTCTCTTTCCCACAGTTAGTTAGTCTTTCTTTAGCTTGTTGTTGTCTCTTTCCACAATAATCCTAAACATTCTACTATTAGAATGATTACTATCTCCTAAATATTTCCTCCAGTTCCTATGATCTACTTGACCCTTTTAATTATCAAGAAACAGGCCTGCTTGTTTGTTGGACCGAACACATGCTGCTTTAAGAAATTCTGCAGAAAACAATCTAAGAATGCTTGCTGCTATCTGCACTGAACCTAACACTACACTAAATCTATTTTAGAGTAATTAATCTCCCCTTGATAAGCACTCAATGACGTGCATCTCAGTGATTTCCTTGCAGATTTGTTCTTTTACATCTTCCTACTCTTTGGAGGTTTATCGACTATTGCACCGTTTTTGCTCCTCAGTTCTAGCCAAGTTGATTTTGTTCTTGAACCCCGGAACATCCTCTTTTTCTCAGCGCTGTTCTTGTTAACCAAAAATGCTGCTCACCTTTTTTTCCTTTCCCTGTCTTTTCTGAACACCTTATAACTAAGAATATTTAACACCCTGTTCTGGCATTCGTGCCTGTAACTCTCAAATTTGATTAACTGCACATACATGCAGTGTAACCCTGATTTCGACTTCATTATTTTGTCCCTTACTCTGACTTCAAACATACGATTCTCTCTTCAAGCGCTGTCTGCTCTCCCAGACCTTTTGAATCCTTGCGTTCACTAATGTTCTCTCCTGATTCCTACGCTTTGCTGAGTTATTTTAAACCTTTTCCCACCACTAGTAACGTACACTGACAATGAGCTTGGTCTTGATTCTGTTCAGGTATAACCTGTCTGGCCTGCACAGGTGCCAACTCTCCAGAGCCAGTCCCAGTGTGCCCAGAATCCAAAACTTCCTTCCAGCCACACAGTCACCTGTCCTATCTTCCAGTTTCTATAGTCAATTGCATGGCCCTGCACTTTTGAACACCTACCTAGCTGCCCAAATTCTGATTGCAGGACCATATTCATTTCTGTCTCATAAGTACCAGTGTGGACCTCAATTACTTGTGGTTTGCCCTCCCCGAGGAATGTCCAGTAACTCCTTTGTGACGTCCTTGATCCTAGCTCCAGAGAGGCATGTACCATTCTGGGGTCACATTACTGGCCTCCAAAATGTCTGTCTGATTCTCCAATGAATCCCCCATCAGTACAGCTGTTACACTCTTCTTTCTTTCCTCCTGTAGAGTTTGGTCACCAGTGGAGCCACAGGTTTGGTTTTTGCTTCACTCCTCTGTTGAGCCATTGCTCACCCAGTATCCAGACAGAAAAGCAATTAATGAGTGGGATCTAATGAACCAGCTGGTAGTCACCCATTCATCGTCTGTCTGCTTGCCCCTAACTTGCAGTGTAACCACCTCTCTGAACATGAGCGACTGGCATCAAAGAAAAGCAGCCAGCAAAGGAGGATTGGCATTGAAAATTGCAGGAAGCTATCTCCAGCTGGCTTGAATTACTGAACTTTTTCCTGGCACACTTCATATTCTTGGGCATTCTTCAAGAAATTGTGCAACCAGCACAAGAATTTTAAGAATTAAGTTGATAATTGCGATATTCCTAAACAGTACAGAATCCTCTAAACTATAAGTAATGACATCAGATGACACTTCCATTTTAACAGCTTATTGTGCTTAAAATTTTTGTTACGAATTAAGTAATCAAAATAGTATGCATTGAGCTAACACTGAAAAATGTTAGTACTACAGGTAATCATTATGCAATAGAAATGATCGACGTCTGGACTTGGGTATTCTAATTGATTTTCTATTACTTAATGCTGGCTTTCAGTTTATTTTTTCCTAATTAAATCATATTGTGGTTAATAAAGGAGATGGTGTATTGTGGTAATTGTAATCCAGGTGCCCAAACTAATGCTGTGGGAGCATGGCAGTTGGTGAAATTTTGAATTTCAGTAAATCTGAAGCATAAAGCTAGTGATGGTGACCATGTCAACTCTCATTGTTATGAAACTGATCTGATTTCACTCTGGTCTTTAACAGAGGGAAATTTGTCATTCTTGTTTGACCTGTATGTGACTCCAGACCCATACAATATAGTTCACTGTTAACTGTCCTCTGAATAGCCTAGCAAGTCACTCACTTAAAGAGCAATAAGGGATGGCTGACGAATGCTGGCCATGCTAGCAATGCCCACACCCCTTCAAAGAAGTAACAAAGTATCAATACTAGTTGCACATACATATGTATAAAATGTATGTTGCTGTTAATGTTGTAAAATGTCTCTGTTTCCAAGGACGCTAAGGCAAATGAAAGATATTAGGAAGGGTGACTAAAAGTAAAGTGGATAATAATGCTTTTTTTCCTTAGAACTTCAGGAATTCAAAGTCATTTATTTCTGTCGAAAGCGCACAGAAACGTGTCCTCTTTGTTTATCTTATGATAAGAATTCACTCTCAGTTGACTTCTTCTGTCCTCGGAGCATACTGCTAACAGGGAGGGGGATGGGCATTGCTATTCATTCACCAGCTATTGTAGCAAGATTAGCTGCAGTTTACAGCTGTGTAGCTGTGTTGTCAGGCTTGTCAGACAGGAAACAGTCAGTTGAGGATTTGTGTTGCCAGGGAGCATGCAAGAATGCCAAAACAATTTGAAAACCAAAACAAAATTCAACCAAGCACAGCAGTACATAATGGCATCTGTCAATATTCCAAGACAGATTAAAGGGAGTTCAGCAGGAAAGCACATTTAAAGCAGTTAAACACTGACTTATAAAGTTCCGAATTAAGATTTTTTTTCTTTTGAGTTGTAATGGCTATTGTAGTTTTGAGTTGAATCTAGATTATCCGTGAGTGAGATGGTTCGTATTATCTAGGAGAACCCTCTGCTGGTAACATGCTGCACACTGTGCTTGAGAAACAATACGTGTACCATTCTAAGTTACAGAAATTAGAAGCTGTAGGCTGTAGCTTCATAACATTTAAGAGTTCACCGCAGCTGTTAGATCCAAGCTAACCTTACACCAGCTTATCTGCAATGCAGCCATCTAGTGGCAGGCTAATAAGTTATTTAATTTGTGTTTTTGTAAAATTGAATATCATTGAATCAGGTATATATTGAAGGTTCTTAGAAATCCAATATTTTCAAGAATATTAAAATGATAGTAACACTAGGTTTGTTGACAGTTGTTCACTTTGTGCAAAAATAAAACTAATTGAGCAGCAGATTTAATTTTTGTATTCTTCCTTGTTACTGCTTTCTAACTAGTTAAACATTTAATGTTAATACTTTTAGATCCTGGTAGTGTCTTAAGTACAAGTGCCAAAACAAGTCAAACAATTTTTTGCTTTTTTTTAGTTTTTTTTGTTGGAATGGAAGTTGAAATATTTCAATTTAGCTTTAGAAAAAACTAACCAAGGGGTTAATGCTTTTATCATTTTAAGCTTGTGGATAATACTGCCCCTGGTGGTGAGATAAAAGTGTCAGCTAAATTGGAGGGAAAGACCACACCACAAGATCAGTTTGGAACTCCTTTCTAATTTGAATAACTAAACTCCTTGTCCTTATCAAAAGATGCCTTAAATGGTGTAGCTGTGGATGAAGCATGTAACACAAGATCTTGGAATTTTATGAAAACACTCTTTGATTAATGTATTTAACCAATAACATATTTTATTTCAAGAGGTTTAAGATTAGCTACTTTAAATACAAACCATACAAGAGGGTTTGATGACATCCCCTTTGTAATCATACTGTAGTAAAACATGGTGCAGTGTCAAAATAAAATGTGTTAACGTGGATATAAACGTGTAGAATTGAAACAAATTTTTAGTGTGCAATACAGAAGTATTCCTGTGGGTGTCTCTTTTCCCTAGTGATTTCACAAAACTGAGCAACAGGGGGTTCCAAGCATGGAGAAGACTGAGTATTAAAGTGGCTTTTTTCAGTTGTTCCAATTTCTAATGTATTTCATTTGGAATAAAAATGCAGTCAACTTTAAAAAATCTGTTTTGGAAAACGTATCTGAAATTAGAGTTAACGGAAGCTTGTAGTAACTTCTTTTGGAAAACTGAATTTTATTCTTGATCAGATCCAGCTTTTAAAACTACCATGTATAATTGTGCTAATGGATGTTGGTTTTTGTAAAAATTATTTAGCATTTACATTTTATTTAGTCAAATCTGGTCATGAATTAATTATTTCAAATAAATTACAAATAGTTAAAATTGTGAAGCCTTTTTAAACTTTTAAAGAACTCATTGTGTGGAGGAGTGTTCTGTTTCCAATATTTTAACTAAGTCATGAATAACAGTAAAATATGAATTATTCCAAGTATTTTGGTTATAATCCGTATGGTGGTTGAAGCTGGAGTCTCAAACAGTATTTAAAGCATTCATAGTTAACATAGAATTTGGACAAGCTTGCGTGAACAGCAATACAATGGAGCTTGATGTAAACCTTTCATTGACTAATAATTATGAGAATTGCATGAATTGTGAAGAATCATGTTTTGTTGTGTCTCTGTGTTATTTAAAGTTGTTATACTTTTCTAACATGATCACTTTTAATTTTAGAAATTGCCCAAACATGTTTCTCATAAAAACTAATCAAGAAAAAGAAGCAGCAAACAATTTTCACACAATCAAGTTATTTGAAAGATTGCCAAAAAGCAAAAGGAAGAAATTACAAAATTCCAGTCCAGATTTGTGGACAGCAAAAGTGCTGAAGAGATGATCACTCCAGAGTTACCAGTGTTACAGTAAGTACTCTTTTAGATTGAAATAATACGTTTTTAGATGTAACGTTGAAGTGGCTATTTCCAAAATATCTATCTTTCATCTCAAGAGACACAGTGGGTGGACTGCAGTGCGATTTCTTTGAATATAAACAGCTTTTTGATCCTCTAAATTAGAGCAACGATTAAAATGTTTTGTACAACCTTTTATTTTGTTTGCACTTTGCATCCAAAATGTTTTGAAAATAATTCTGTTATATGACCAGTAAAGTGTTAAAAAAATTTCAAGCTGTGTATTAAAGCCAAGTCACAAACACAATATATTTTGGTTACGGAAGTATAATTATGTATCTGTATAAATTTTCAATTACAGTTGGTTTCATCAATATTTTTAAAAATCCAATCATTAAACAGAATCAGTTTTCAATTCTATGCTTTTTTTGTGAAATGTGTTTTGAACATTTTTATCAAATATTGAATCTTAGCACACTTCAGAAAGTCAGTCTCCAAGAAGGAAAAACTGTATTCTCACTCTGAGCAGTCTAGGTGGAGTGGTAGTTTTTCAATAGAAGAGGAACCCTGGATTAAGATTGATCAGGATCAAACTCTTTGGGGAGATTCATTGCACAGCATGTAAAAATACAAGGGAATTGGTCAGGGCAGAAAATACAATGAAATCTTTGGGGCATCAAGAAGAAAACATAATATCTGAGCCCTCGATCTGCCTGTCTTCTTGGCATTTATTCACGGTTGAAGAATTTAGGAAGATTGTACTTATTGGATGCAGACCTGCTGGTGGCTAATCAGTCCTATCTGTATCAGGTAGATTGTTCTATAGTGGGTCAAAAGAAGCAGTAGTTGCTTCTGCATATACTTGGGTCTAACCATCTCCTTTTTACTTCAATGCTGGTTCCTGGCTCAGCCTCCAAGGTGTCTGTAGCATCTCCAGACATCTCGATCTCAATCTGGCACTTACCACTAATGATAGTCACTGTGAGGGATAGAGAGGGATGTCTTTAGGGAGGCTTTGAAAACCTTGCCGGGGCTCCACTGTCCCTTTCACCAGTGTTCAACTGTTTGTATGGCGTGATCTTGGGCAAGGTGACTTGCCCATTGTAGTTGGCTTTTCAGAAAGATGACCTCAATGCTTTTGATGTTGGCTGTTTCCAGGACTTCAGTGTTTGTGATGCAGTCCCTACAGCGAATCTTGATGCTGTGGAGGTAGTGTTGCTGGAAGTACTCGAGAGCCATATATTGTGGCAGTATAGCACCATTGACTCAGTTCTGGTTTGTACGCTTGAGTTTGTGCTTTGATGATGTGTTTCTTCCAGATTAATCTTTAGAATTTGAAGAATGCTTTGTTTGCTTTAGAGAGCCTTTCACCTGCTTCCTGATCTATGATGGCAGCAGGCAAGATGACGCTTCCCAAATAGGTAAATTGCTTAACAGCTTTCAGTTTGCTCACTTCGGTCACAATGCTTGCAGGCAAATGCAGGGCTTCACATTTCTTTAAATGGAATTTTCATTCAAAGAGTTGTGCTGCCTCAGGAAACATGTTGTTGTAAGGAGCTTGTCCTGTACTTAATGACTGTGGAGAGGACAGGAGGGCACAGCCATCAATACAAAGAAATTCACTGATGAGTTTTTCTTCTTTCTTTACGTGAAGATGCCTGAGGTTGAAAAGATCTCTAATTCGTCCACATGATTACATATACTCCCTTCCCATTCCCTGCAGTAGCATCGCATCATATTCAAGGAGTTGCTGAATTAGATCCAGGCCTGCACTCATCCTCACTTAACCCTTTTGGAAATTTAGAAGGATGTCTAGAGGTTGCTGTTGCACTTCACTTGTCCATACTGATTTTCATGATACTGCTTCACAATACCCAGGAACCTAGATAGGCATGCATGGTATTTCAAGAATTTTCAAAAGTCTGTCTCCTGTGTCAGATACCTTGACAAGTTTTATGAGTGTTACATACAAGGCTTTACTTTGTTCACAACAATTTTGTATTTGATGGAGTACAAATACCAGATTTTGAGGGCCTCTGCTTGCACTGAAACTGCACTGGCTCTCTAGGAAATTCTCTTCTCCAACAGTAAGGGAGCATATTCAGAAGTATTCTAGTCAAGATCCTCCCAGCCACAGGAAAGAGGATGATCCCACAGTAGTTGAATTGGTCTTTCTCCTTTGTTTTTGTCACTTACCTGACATGTGCAGTGCAACCACATCAAGCAACTGCTTGTTGTTGAAGATTTGGGTGAGAGCCTAACCCATGACCACCCCATTAATGAAATGAAGAGCCACAAAGCCCCTACAGCCGATAGAATTGTACTTGATGGCTTCCATCATGGTAGTCAGGTTCTACACATCAAGCTCTGTATGTTTTTCGTGGCCTGCCGGGAAGAAGGCAGCATTGCACAGGATCACCACGATGCAATGTTTCATTTATTCTATATTTCTGTTCGTCTCTTCCATCTTGAATACTGGTAACACATTGGCTGTCCTCCAGTCCTCTGGCACCTCTCCTATGGCCAAAGAAATGGAAACAGGAAAAGAAAGTGCAGGAGAGATTTACAAGATTGGTTACAAATATGGAAATTTCAGTTTGAATATATTTTGGAGATGTTGGCAGTGTTGTTGGAAAGAAGACAACTAAGAGGAGATCAGATAGAAGTTTACAAAACCATGAGGGGGCTAGATAGACACAGTTCCTGCCTGCAAAAGGATCAGGTTTAAAGTGAATTTGCAAAAGGAACAAATATGGTGTGAGGGGAAAACGAACTCTTTCACACAACAATTAGTTGGTTCCGGAATGCACAGCCTGGAAGTGTGGTGGAGGCAGGTTCGATTGAGGCACTCAAGGCATCGATGATTGTTTCAATTTAAATAATATACAAAAGTGTGGGGAAAAGGTAGGTGAATTGTACTAAGTCCTGATGCTTATTTGGAGAACTGGTGCAGACACGATGGTCCAAATTAGATCTTCTGGCCTTAACACTTCTGTGATTCAATTGACAAGGAAGGGACCTTTTAGTAAGTCAGAAAACTTGTGATCTCTTTTGTTCCTGCTTTTGTGTAAAAACTTAGAGTCATAGTCATACAGCACAGAAACAGACCCTTCGGTTCAACTTGACCACACCAATCAGACATGTCAATCTGACCTAGTCCCATTTGCCATTTGCCAGAATTTGGCTCATAACCCTCTAAACCCTTCCTCTTCATATGTCCATCCAGATGCCTTTTAAATGTTGTAATTGTACCGACCTCCATGACTTCCTCTGGCAGCTGACTTCATACACACCACCCTCTGTGTGAAAGAGTTACCCCTCAGGTCCTTCTGTGCCCTCTAGTTTTGGACCAATACCACCCCCCCCACCCCACCCTGTGTAGGAAAAACACCTTGGCTATTCACCCTATCCATGCCCCACATGATTTTATAAACCTCTATAAGGTCAGCCCTCAGCCTCTGTCGCTCCAGGTTAAAAAAGCCCCAGCCTGTTCAGTCTCTCCCTGTAAGCCACACCCTTCAGTCCTGGCCACATCCTTGTAAATCTTTTCTGCACCCTCCTTCCTATAGAAGGGGACTAGAATTGTATGCAGTATTCTAAAAGTGCCCTCATCAATGTCCTGTACAGAAACATGACCTCCCAACTCCTATACTCAAATGTTCTGACCAATGAAGGCATGGGTGCCTTGGGCCTACTTCACCATCCTGTCTACCTGCGACTCCACTCTCAAGGAACAATGCACCTGCACTCTTAAGTCTCTGTTCAGCAACACTCCCCAGGGCCCTGCCATTAACTGTATAAGTCCTGCCCTGGTTTGCCTTACCAAAGTGCAACACCTCACATTTACCCAAATTAAACTCCATCTGCCATTCATTGGCCCATCTGATCAAGGTCCCATTGTACTCTGAGATAATCTTTTTCGCAGTCTATTGCACCATATGTTTTGGTGTCATCTGCAAACTTACTAACTATATTCACAAAAGGTGTGTTTTTATAGGTTATACAGAATGTAGGTCTTTAGTTTTGATTTGTGTCACTTTGGGTAGATTAATTTACTGAATTTTGATTAACATGTATTATAGAATATAATTAATTCCGCAGTTATGGTCACATAATGGGCAAAATCCAAATTGAGGTGGTGGTGGTAATGAGAAGAATTGAAATTTGTAAACAGTCGGACCCAGTGACACGGGCCAGGGACCCAGGTTCGATTCCACCCTTGAGTGATTGTGTGGAGTTTGTACATTCACCCCATGTCTGCGTGGGTTTCTGCTGGGTGCTCCAGTTTCCTCCCATAGTCCAAAGATGAGCAGGCTAGGTGGATTGGCCATGCTAAATTGCCTGTAGTGTCCAGGAATGTGTAGTTAAGGTGGATTAAAGGGGGATGGATCTGGGTGGGATGCTCTGAGGGTGGGTATGGATGTGTTGGGCCAAAGGGCTTGTTTCCACACTGTAGGGATTCTATGGTCTATGATATACGATGATTAATATCTGCAATATTTAACTTTCAGGGAGTCAACTAATGAAACAACTATTCATTCTGATGTTACTGGTGAATTCGATGATCCAGAGGGGAAAGGACAAAAGCGCAGAGCTCGCGGTCCTGGAAGGCCACCGGTATGACTTTTTAATTAAGTATTGACATTTTGTCATAGAAATTATGCATTGGTACTTGCTGCATTAAGAAGCTTACACTGAAGACATTCATATTGAAGGAAGAAGATGGATCTAGCAATTAAAACATGAGAGTTATGCAGTTCATACAAAGGCACAGCATTCCAATACTCTTATTTACAAATTTTCATATTTTCTCCAAATTTGCCAGACTTAATTCATAATTTTTAGTGTGTCTTTGATGTTGAGTTTCACAAGTATCACATTTAGTTCATGGATGCAAGGATAAACTGAATGGATAAGGACCAGAAAGTCAAGAAGAAGCAGGTCATGCAGGAGCACTGAGTTCCAAGTCTCCCTCAAAACAGTATTCAGTTCTGAATATTGATAAGAGTGATGGTTCATTTGGGGAGCTCAGCCATAGCTGTTCCTGCAGTCAGTATTTAGAGAGCTGACAGGAAATTAGCAAGCAGGACTTTAAAATTAGTAAAATCCCGATTACTCCAGTACTACATGTAAGTGAGTATAAAATTAGGAAAATAAAGCACAAGAATAATGGTTGAAGATATGGCCCAGGAAGGAAGGCTTTAGCTTCTTGAGACAATAGTACTGGCTGTGGTTGTGCATAAATATATTGAACTCCTTGCAGGGTGATTTGCTTTCCTATTAGGGAGGTGTTAAATTATTTGGGCAGGTATGCGGGAATCAGGTTGTAGTATCTGTGAGGAATATGCACGTGCACAGAGTACGAGGAGGGAATGATAGCAGAGGGAAATAGTGAGTTATTAAATGGGCACAAAATAAGTGAAGTAAAAAATGTCAATTTGGGATACTGTGCATGTTAGTGAATACATGGAGTCTGGTAAGTTGGTGAGTTACAGGTGTGAAGTAACACGTGGAGTTATAATATTGTGGCTATATATTCCTGGATACAATATATTAAGGAAAGACAGGAAAAGAGGGAGTGGGTAGCATTGATGAAGAAGAATATTGCAGTGCTGGAGAGAGAGGATGTCCAAGGAGGGTCAAGGACAGAAGCTATTTGGGTAGAACAAAAGGAACAAAAAAGGTGCAATTAAATTGCTAGATGTAGTCTAATATGAAGGTGGATGGAAAATATTTCAATGTTTTTGCCATTTCCTTATTCCCCATGATGGTCTATCCTGTCTCTATCTTTAAGGGACCACTCTCCTTTTTATGCATTCATAAAAGCTTATTCTTTATATTCAGACTAGGTTGCTGTTGCTGAATCTCTTTGCCTACTCTTGGGAACCTTACTTGATCAATATGTCATATTGATGAGCTACTGGCATTCACTTCTCACACTTTAAGCTTTTAACTTCTACAGCACGTGAAGGAAGGGATGTCCAAGATAGGGTCTGCAAGGGTATTAGTTCTGCTACCTTCAACTACCCAGCTTCAGTTTTTCTAGGATCGCTGTCCCTCTAGGACCTGCTTCACTCTGTGAGGATTTTAAAAGTACAGCAAATTCCAGGATTAGGGCGTTCCTCCATCAATGAAAAATTCCTCTAGTATGGAAGAGTGTGTGTTAGCTGTTGCTTGGTTTTTAGCATTCTCACTTGTAAGTCAGAGGTTCTCATTTCAAGTCCTTTTTGGACCTGAGCTCAAAAATCAGTTCAGTACTGAGGAAGTACTGCACTGTTGAAGGATTGAAACCCTAAACCTATCGCAGTCTTTTCGGAGAAAAACTCAACATGGGGCCTGTTTGCCCTCTAAAGCAGACATAAAAGATCTAATGACACTGCATCAAGAATGGCAATAGAGTTATCTCTGTTGGTCTAGTTTGTTTATGGAAGCTTGCTGTGTAGAAATTCCTACAGTGCAAAATTAACATTTCAAATGTACTTCATCGACTGTAAAGTGCTTTGGGACATTTGGTGTGAAGGACTCAACACATCCAATTCTTCCTATATCAAATACATTTTAAATCTCAAAAACAGAGAATGAATTGAACTTGCATTCAACTGGCAGGTTTGTAGAATTAGGGATAATCTCAGGTGAGATTTTTTTAAAAAGGAAAGAATCAAGCTAATCTGGGATTTTTTTTAAATTCATTCTGTTATGTACTATAAATGCAATGTCCATTTTTAATTAAAAACTCCTGCGATAAAAGTCATTTACTTGCAATTCCAAATATTCAGAAATCTCATCCATCACAATGGACTCCAAAATCTTAACCACGACCGAGGTTAAGCTAATCGGGCTGTAATTTTCCATCTTTTGCCTTAATCCCTTTTTAAACAGGGGTGTCACGTTAGTGACTTTCCAGTCTTCTGGAGCCCTCCCTGACTCTAGCGATTCCTGAAAGATCACCATGAATGCCTCTACTATCTCTTCAGCTATCTCATTAAGAACTCTGGGGTGTAGTCCATCTGGTCCAGGTTTATTTATCCATTTACAGGCCGTTCAGTTTTTCTAGTACCTTCTCCTTGGTGATGGCCATCATACTTAGCTCTGCCCTTTGTCTCTCTCAAATTTTTGGGATGATATGCATGTCTTTCACAGTGAAGACTGACGCAAACTACTTATTCAGTTCCTCAGCCATTTCCTTGTTCCCTACTACTATCTCTCCAGCGTTATTTTCTAGCGGTCCAATGTCCACTTTTGCCTCTCTTTTGCCCTTTATGTATCTAAAGAAACTCTTACAGTCTTCCTTTATATTATACTGGCTGGCTTATCCTGATATTCAATCTTCTCCCTCCTTTATTTTTTTTTGTTGTCCTCTGTTGGTCTTTGTAAGCTTCCCAATCCTCTGGTTTCCCACTGCCCTTCGCCACATTATATGCTTTCTCTTTTGCTTTTATGCTATCCCTGAATTCCCTTGTCACCCATGGTTACCTTATCTTCCCTGTACCATGATGCTTTTTCCTTGGGATGAATTTTTGCTGTGTCTCCTGAATTACTCCCAGAAACACCTACCATTGCTATTCCATTGTCTTTCCTGCCAGGCTCCTGTCTGAGTCAATTCTGCCGAGCTCCTCGTTCATGCCCCTGTAGTTGCTTTTACTCAGCTGTAATACCGTTACCTCTGATTCATTCTTTTCCCTCTTGAATTTACTCTGCAATTCGATCTTATTATGATCACTGCCTCCTAAGGGTTACTTCACCTTAAGCTCTCTTATCAAGTCTGCCTCATTGCATGTCACTAAATCCAGATTGCCTGTTCCCTAGTGGGCTCCACTGCAAGTTGCTCCAAAAAACCATCTTGTAGACATTCCACAAATTCCTTTTCTTGCAATCCACTACCAACCTGATTTTCCCAGTCCACCTGCACATTGAAATTCCCCATGATCACTGTAACTTTGCCTTTCTTATACACCTTTTCTACCTCCTGGTGTATCTTGCACCCCAGCTCCTGACTACTGTTTGGAGTCCTCTAAATAACTCCAGCTATGGTTTTTTTTTAACCTTTGCAGCTCCTCAGCTCTACCCACATAGATTCTACATCATCTGACCTTACTTCGTTTCTTCTTATGGATTTAATTTCATTTCTTACAATAAGGCTAAGCCTATCTGCCCACCTGCCTATCTTTTCCATAGGATGTACATCCTTGGATATTTAGCTCTTAATCCTAATCCCCTTGCAGCCACGTCTCCATGATGCCCACCACATCATATTTGCCAATTTCAATCTACACCACAAGCTCATTTACCTTATTTCTTATACTGTGTGCGTTCAGATAGAACAACTTCAGTCCTGTATTAACCGTTCCTCTTTTCATTGTCATTCGTTTATCCAGTGTACTTGAAATTTGATTCCTAGCCCTTTCCAAACACTCTCTCCTATTTGTGTCTGTGCTGGAAACTTTAATAACCTCTCCTGAGTTCTCCTTTCCTGTCAGTTTTTTTCACATTTTTTCCACGCAGTTGAATCCACCCCGACAGATGTTAACCTGAGATAACAAGGTGCAGAGCTGGATGAACACAGCAGGCCAAGCAGCATCAGAGGAGCAGGAAAGCTGACGTTTTGGGTCTAGACCCTTCTTCAGAAAATGTTAACCTGCTGCTTTGTTCCCCACTGGGTGAAGTGGCCCCCCCTTCTGGTTTAAAGTCATGTTGACCAGCCTATTCACCCTTTTCGCTAGAGCATTGGTCCTAGCTCGGTTCAGGTGAAGCCCGTCCCAGCGGTACAGATCCCTCCTGTTCCAATACTGATGCCAGTGCCCCATGAAAAAGAACCCCGCTTTCTCATATCACTCTTTTAGCCACATGTTTACTTCCCTTATTCTCGTGTCCCTATGCCAGTTTGTACATGGCTCAGGCAGTAATCCGAAGATTATAATCCTTGAGGATCTGTTCCTTAATTTTGTTCCTAGTTCCTGATAATCCCTGAACAGGTCGTCTTTCCTAGTCTTGCCTGTGTTGTTTGTTCCGAATAGCACCACAACATCTGGATCCTCCTCCTCCTTCTCCAGTATCCTTTCAAGCTGGTCAGAGATATCCCTTACCCTGGCATCAGGCAGGCAACACACCAGGCGGGACTATCGATCCTGCTTACAAAGGAATCTATCTGTTTCCCTGCTTATGGAATCCCCTACAACTACCACTTGCCTTTTTGCTCCCCACTCTTGAATGGCCTCCCATGCCATAGTGCGATGGTCAGTTGGTTCATCCTCCCTGCAGCCCTTTTCCTCATCCACACAGGGAGCAGGTACCCCATACCTGTTGGACAAGATCAAGAGCTGAGGCTCCTCTGTTCCTGAATGTAGGATCCCTTTACCTGCCTTGGTTGCAGTCAGCCCCTGCTGTCCCTGGCCAATGACCAAATGTGATGTTCTTAATCTACCAGGTGTGACTGCCTCCTGAAACCCAGCGTCCAGGTAATTCTCCTCCGGATGTGCCACAGTGTTTGAAGGTCAGATTCCAGCTCATTAACTCCGAGCTGAAGTTCCTCAAGCAAGCAACACTTGCTGCAGATGTGGCCATCGCAGTTTGCAATGGGATCAGCTGGCTCCCACATTATACAGCTACATCACCTGTCCAGCCAATTCTACTTCATTAATTACTTTATTGAGTTAATTAAATTTATTGATACTACTTTGCTGTATTCTTTTTCAAATTTATTGCAGATTTCCTATCAGCCAGTCAGATCACAGCCTCCCTGTAATGTCACTCCAGTTTTTTTCACAGCTGCATTCCGCGCCGAGCTGCAGTAGGTTTACACTCACTCTGCTGCTCTGCCCTCTGATAGCTTCCTGCCAACTTGGCTGTGATCCCTGAGTTCCGGAAGGTTTATACTCACTCTTCTGCTGCTCTGCCCTCCAACAGCTTTGCGCTGATGGTAATCTTCCAAGAAGTCTTAGATTCTGAAAAATCCCAGAGGATTGGAAAACTGCCAGTGTAGCATCTTTATTTAAAAATGGAAGGAGACAAAATATAGTTAACTGTAAGGCAATTAGCTTAACATCTGTTATATAAAATGTAATAACATAGCATTCAGAAGTACATAATCCAGCATAAGCAGCATGCCTCCATGAAGGGAAAATCATGCCTGATAAATTTACTAGAATTCTTTGAGGTAACAAGCAGGATAGATAAAGGGGAAACAGTGGATGTAGTATTTTTGGATTTTCAGAAGGCATATGAAAAGATACCACACGTTAGGCTACTTTATAAGATAAGTATCTATGCTGTTGGACTTAATATACTAACGTGGTTAGAGGATTGACTAGCTAATAGAAAAGTTGACTTAAGAGAATATGTATTTTCAGGATGGAAACCTGTAACTCGTAGAGTGCCACAGGGATCAGTGCTAGGACCACAATTATTTACAATATATATTAAAGGCTTAGATGAGAAAAGTGAATGGTTGATAGCTAGTTTTATGGATGGCAAAAATAGGTGGGAAAGCGAGTGGTGAGGATGACGAAAGAGCCTGGAGAGGGGTAGAGACAGGTTAAGAAAGTGGGCAAAACTTGGTAGATAGAATCTAATTTGGGAAAAATACATTCTGGCACCAAGAATAGAGAAGCTGAACATTATTCAAATAGAGTGCAGAAAGCTTCAGAAGATAGGGGTTTGGGAGTCCTCTTGCATGAATTGTAAAAAGCTATCATCCAAATTCAGCTGATAATGGGAAGAGCAAGTAGAATATTGGCCTTTATTTCAAAGGGAATGGAGTACAAAAGTAGGGAGGTTTTGCTAAACACTAGGAGGAGTAACTGGTCAAACCACAGCTGGAATCCTGTACAGTTTTGTGCCCCATATCAAAAGAAAGATATACTGAGATTGGAGACAATCCAGAGATGGTTCACAAACCTGATCCTGGATATGGAGTGACCCTCTCATGAGGAGAGGTTGACTAATTTGGTCCTGTACGCATTGAAATTTAGAAGGATAGGAGGTGACCCCGTTGAAGGATGTAAGCTTCTTAGAGGACTTGATGGATGTGGAAAGGTTGTTTCCTGTTGTGGGATAATCTATGACCAGAAGTCATAATCTCAATAAGGAGTTGCATATGTAAGACAGAAGAGGAGGAATTTCTTTTGAGGATAGTCAATCTATGGAATTCTTTACCACACAAGGCTTTTGAACCTGGGTCTTCAAGTATGTTCAAGGCTGAGACAGACAGATTTTTAATTAGTAAGGAAATGGGGATTTATAGGGAAAAGGCCAGAAAGTGCAGTTGAGGATTATCAGATCAGCCATGACCTCATTGAATGGTGGTGCAGACTGGATGGGCTGAATGACCTACTTCTGCTCCTTTATCTCGTATTCTTGGGTTACACTATAGTCCTTTGACTGCAGAAACAGTTTCATTTAATGCTAAATTGTGATTTTAAACCCCATATCCCAGTCATCACGAAGACTATCCATTTTCATTTTGATAGCATTATTGGTCCCTGCTCACGATTCACCCAACTCCCATTAAGACCTGGCAGCTTCAGGCTTAAGAATTCTAACCATTTTCACCAGACATTTGGATGCCACTTTAAATCAACTCCCAGCCTGTCCAATCTGCTACTTCGTATTGTACCCTATTATCTTACCTCTGCCTTACTCTCAATGTTCTCCTGCTTCCCAACACTTACGGCCTGTCCTTTCACTCCTGCAGCCTTTTTAACCACTACTTCAGATTGCAATACCATATATTTGTTATAAACGTTAATGTTTATATATTGTTTAATTCCTCAGCCACATTTATTGCCTGGGAGAAGATAATGCATTTTGACTTATGGATTGGAATGCCATCACCTTTTGGGCTATCGAAACATAGAAAGTAGGAGTAGGCCATTCAACCATTCAGTCCTGCTCTATTATTCAGTATACTTATAGCTGATCATCCAACTCAGTACTATGTTCCTGCTTTCCCCCCATACTCTTTGACCCTTTTAGCCTCGAGAATCATATCTAGCTTGTTCTTGAAAACATTTAGTATTTTGGCCTCAACTGCCATTTGTGGCTTTATGCTTTCTTGGGAGTTCTCCCTGTAATCTCAGATGGTTAGAAGTGGGGCGTGCCTGGTATTGGAGCAAAATCCAAGCAGATGCCGAGGTTATGATAATGACACCGCTTGGCATTTCAGCAGGGGGAGTTAGCTCAAGACAAATTGAGTAGGAAGCTGTGGTGTGTGAAGTGGCTGAGTCCCACTCCAGGATCTGAGGACAACAATTCAAGGTATGTCCTGAGGGAGTGCTGCACTCTTCAAGGTGCTGTTTTTCAGATGAAATGCTAAACCAAACCAATTGGGCTACAGCTGATACAATAAGATTCATTGGATATGTAATCTTCTGCAGTTAGAAGTGAAGGAACACAAGACAATGTGCTAACAGATACAAGGTTTAAATAAATACATCCGTTGCTTTTCTGGGTATCAGACATTTGAACAGTGCAAGCTTTGACGGAAGGTGAGTTTGTGTTGTATCTAACAGTTGACAGGATCATATTTAAACTTGGTCAGATTAATTATAGCAAGAATAAATTCACTTAACTGCTTACAGTAGGTATATTTTGATTCACAAATTCGTTGATCTAGCTCAGGGTGGAATTAGCCGGTCAGTGCCCTTTTAAATATAGGGCTTTCCTAACATTTTAATAAATGAATGTGAATATTTAAAAGTGAAAGTAAGCAAATTTTGAATGTGCTGTTTTTAATTTGACAACACCACATTGTTCTCTTTTCAAGACTGCTAAGAAGGCAAGACGTATCCCAGGAGAGAAAAGTCGTGTAGGAACAGGTGGTAGAGCAAGTCTGGGAAAGGCTAATGGGCACCATCAACAAAATGGAGACATTGAACCAGTCACACTTTTTGAGGTGGTCAAAATGGGCAAGAGTGCCATGCAGGTAAACAGAAATTGAAATATCACCCTTTGCTCTTAATTAGTTCTCGTGAAAAGAACAGCAGATTATTTCTGATGCTTCTAATCAAATTGTCAGCATGTTGCAAGAATAGTTGAAAGTTGAATCTGTTTCCGTGCACATTTCCATGAACTTGAGACAGGATTCATATCTTTAATTGGAATCTGACCAAATAATTCTGTTTTAAGTTTTCTGGTTATAATTTGTAAATGCACGAAAATTCAATTGCATTAACCTGTAGTTATCATGTTAACGGTGAGATTTGTGTTACATATGATATTTTACTCCATAATGTCCAAGCATTAATCAATCCTGCTGTAAGAAGTTATAAGAAGAAAAAGAAGTGGGAGGAGGACACTTGGCTTATCAAGACAGCACTGTCATTCAGTAACAATACAGCTAATCTTCTGCCTCCACCCCACCTTTTAGCAGTACCTCCGTATACCTCAATTTCTTTCGAATCCAAATATCTATCAAACTCTGTCTTGAATCTACTCAAACATGGATGTTCCACCGCTCTTCCAAGACATTGGCTGACACAGTCATGTCAGTACTCATTTCTTTAAATCTGTCTTTCACAGATTTTCTTTAATTGTGCCGATACCTATATGTGCAGTTATTTTCATGCTGTCTTTCCTCTCTCAGTTACATGCCTTCTTTCATTCTTCAGTTTTCACTCCTCAGCTTAAATTATTGTGAAGTATTTTCTAGTGAATAATCATGCAAGTAAGTTGTAGGGTAATAGCTGCTGTAAATACCTCATCTGAAGTTTATCCAGCTTGCATAATAATTACTACTAATACTTTTCTCAACAGTCTGTCGTTGATGACTGGATAGAATCGTACAAACAGGACAGAGACATCGCACTTCTGGACCTAATCAACTTTTTCATCCAGTGCTCAGGATGTAAAGGTAAATTTAAAGGCCTTGAAGTATTCATTGAAGGATTATAATTTTCTTTGTTTTATTTTAACCAAGAACCACTTTTACCACTTGAGGTATTGTGTTTCTGTGTAAGGTAATTTTGTTAAGAAAAGTATAACATTACTTGTGATTATAGTAAACACACTATCACCAACTTTCTTTGGTTGCTCATCAAGTGGTGTCTGATTTTGTACAAATAACTACTGTTGAACACTAAATACATTTATATATTGATTTCCCTGCTGCTCAGACTGCCTCAGTAGCTCCCCCTACATAATATAAACAAAAGAGCTATACAAACATTGAAGTAGTCTTCGTAGAAAAGGTAACAGTTTGAGAAACTAGAGGTATATAATTGAGTCTTTCAACATTTTTCCAGTCATTTTTTAACTGCTACTTTATTTTTGTTACATGTTCTGTTGTTAATCAAATTTAATAAACAATTCTTAAATTTCACAGTATTTTAAGCGCAAAATTTGTTTCAAAGTTGAATTGCCAAGTAAGATTCAGAGGATCAGAGCTTCTCATAGAATATTAAAGTGCATTGTTCCAAAAATATTTTTGCCAACATTTAGCTTGTCAAAATTTAAGTTTTGTACCATTGCAGCCAATAGATTTTAAGGTAAGCATGATTAAATGCAGGGACTTACCTGTAACACTGATGTTTCTTTACAATCTCTTTGTCTATGTTCCCCATACAGGCACTGTAAGAATTGAGATGTTTCGAAATATGCAGAATACAGAAATAATTAGGAAAATGACCGAAGAGTTTGATGAGGTGGGTCCACAGTAACTAAATGAATGATAATGTAAAAACTGGAATCTTCCCAGATCTGACCTCTGGTCTGTTGTATGTCACAACTGGTCATTTGTAGCAAAGTTACATACTCTGTAGGGTAAGGTGTCCTGTTTTGATTGTGGAAGTTTAGACTAAGTTTTTAAAAATTCACTAGGGCAAAATGAAGCTTTTTTAGTTTACACCTAAGCAGTGTGAATTACAGGATATGTCACTGCTGTAAACTCAAAGATAGCTGTGAATCTGGAGTAGTATTTTCTTTTATTTTTAAAAGAATTAATTTAAAAGAACTGCTACAGTTAAGGTTGTCAGGGAATTATTCAAAGGCAAGACTACTAACTGAGATTGTTTACTGAGTACTCTGTTCAGTTGCTGTGTTAAAGAAAGGTACCAAGTAGCCACAGTCATGATTTGGATGATTACAGACATAAATGACAAGTGTGTTTGTAATGTTTTCCTAACACTTTTTCTATTCCTAAGTTTAATACTTATCAATTTGAAAGGGATAGTCAAACAAATTGAACAATCCTGAGAAATAGTGAAGATGTTGAATATATATATGATTTTGTTTTCAAGAGCCTGGCCAACCAAAAATATGAGTTAAGCATAGCCTGCCAGAAAAATAAATGCTGTGTATATGGTAAATAAAACTGTATTAGTTCACTGCAATAAATTTATAGACCATTTGTTTGCATTCTGTTAAGATTATAGTTTGGAATATATTTCTTTACAGGACAGTGGAGATTACCCTCTAACTATGCCTGGTCCTCAATGGAAGAAATTCCGATCAAATTTCTGTGAGTTTATTGGAGTGCTTATCCGGCAGTGTCAGTACAGTATCATTTATGATGAGTACATGATGGATACAGTGATTTCTCTCCTGACTGGGCTTTCAGATTCACAAGTGCGAGCCTTCAGGCACACCAGCACATTGGCTGGTAAGTTGACAGTTTTCTTCACCAAAGGAAGTTTACTGTGCTGTTTTGTTAAACACACAGTCAGTAGTTTCAGGATATAATTATGGTCCTTTTTATGCACATTAAGTATCCATTTTGTTGCATTTGAATTACATAATTTGTTTTCAGGTCCTAATCTGAAAAATGCAGCACCTTTGTGTACTTATGTTTAATTATGGTTCCAATGAGCCTTGCTGCAGGGTTGGAGTTGAAAGTAAGTTGCTACTTCCTGAACAGAGCAACAACAGCTTTCGTTTACAAAGCACCTGTAGCATAAAGGTTTCTGGCATAATCAGACAATATTGGCCACAGAGACAGATGAGAAGTGACTAGAAGCATGTTCAAAGAGATGGCATGTAAGCAGGCTTTTGGAGGAGAATACATGGCTAATCTGTAAGACTCAACTGGGTCACAAAGAAATGGAGAGGGGTGAAGCCATGAGGGATTTAATTATGAGGATGAGAATTTTAAATTGGAAGTACTGGTGTATCAAAAGAAAAAAGTAGGTCAACAAGTGCAGAGGTGAAATCCAGGTAAGATACCGTTGGAAACCGGCAAGTTGGAACTAATTATCAGCCAGGAAAACAGCTACACTTTGTGCTGAGTACTGGATACTTTCCATTTGCTGCTGTCACTAGAACTTAGCTGATAACTTTTCAAACACGTAACTAATTTTACATGTGTAGCAGATTTTTCAACTTTTTTTTTGGGGTGTGGAATGGGGATTTGATTTACCTTCAGATTCTTTATTAACTAAGACGAGGACTGTAGAAGGTTGAGTGTTTGATTGAGTTGACATTCAATTCTGCCTGTTAGCAGTCTCAATTTAAATTTTCATTTTTCTGGTAAACTGAGATTGGCTTTGACAGAGAGCTGCAAGATATGTCACTGTAAAATGTTGTTTTGACCCAGTTAATAGATGGTCTGAACCTGGCAGGTGAAAATTCTCCGCAACTCAGAACAAATTTGGTCTCATTCGGGCTGCATTGGTATCTTAGTTGCTTTTTAAAGTTAGTTTTTAGACTTAATATAGCAATAAAATTTATCTACAAGACAGGTAGTAGATGAAATGGCTGGGGGAAGAAATTAACTGCACTCTGCATTCCAGTTGATTGATGTTTAATTGTGCAGATTAGCAGACAGGTAGCATTTTCAACGCAGATGGATCAAGTCAGTCGAACTTTAGCTTGTATAAATAGGGATTTGGGCTTTTTGCAATTTTATGTGCTCCATTACAAAAAATGTTTGTTATAGTTAGTGTGCTGCATAGATTCAAGTTCATGGGAAATGAATTTTAGGGTAGAGAAATGTGATATTTTAGGTTTTGGTAAGAAGGAAAAAGGAGGTAATTTAGAAAGTACGGTCTTTGTGGGCTAGAAAAACCAAGGAATTTCAGAATACAAATGCACAAATCATTAATGAATGTGACACAGGTTAACAAGGCCATAAATAAACCAAATCAAGTGCTAACCAATTTTCTCACACTCAAACTAAATGTCAGTTTCCCTCACATTTTAATGTTCTTCCCCAGAAATTCTCTTAATGTGCGCTGTTTATTCAATCCTGTCTCATTATACATCATCACATCGAAAATATCCTATTCCTTCACTGGTTTGTTGCTGTATTCTTCTAACAAACTGTCCTGAGTACATTATATAGATTTGTCCTCAGGCCTAGCGTTGACAATTTGATTTCACCAACTCATACGAAGATTAAAGTCACCCATTATTATTACAGGTACGTTCTCGCAACATCCCCCGGCACCCCATTTTGTCCTGTTATATATTCTATTCTGCAGTGTAGCTGCTATTTGGGGACTGATCAACCATTTCCATCATTGACATCTTTCCCTTGATAGTTCTATCTCAGCCCAAATTGATTCTCTATTTTAACCTTCTCACAACTTAATTTCTCACAACTGTACTGATGTCATTCTTTATTAATGGATTTATAACACCACCTTTTCCTTTCTGACTGTTAGAGTCAGACTAATACAGCATGGAAACAGGCCCATCGGCCAAAACTGGCCCATGCCGTCCATGGTGCCCACTCAGCTAGTTCCAATCGCCCACATTTGGTCCATATCCCCCCATAACCTTCTCATCCATGTACCTATCCAAATGTTTTTTAAACGTTGCTATTGTATCTGCCGCAACCACTTTGTCTGGCAGCCCATTCCGTGTACACACGACTCTCCGCCTGAAGAAGTTGCCCTTCAGGCCCTTGTTAAATCTTTCCCCTCTCACCTTAAACATATGCCCTCTAGTTTTCAATTCCCCATCCCTGGGAAAAAGACTATATGCATTTATCCTATCTACACCCCTTGTGATTTTATACATCTCAATAAGGTTACCTGCCATTCTCCTACGTTCCAAGGAATAAAGTCCTATCCTGGCCAACCTCTCCCTATAACTCAGGCCTACTAGTCCTGGCAACATCCTTATAAATCATCTTTGCACACTTTCCAATTTAACTATGTCTTTCCTATAACAAGGTGACCAAAACTGTACACAATACTTCAGGTGCAACCTCACCAACAATTCACATAACTGTAACATAATGGCCCACCTCAGTGCCTCCTCCGATGAAGGCCAGCATGCTAAACGCCTTCCTCACCACCCTTATCTACCTGTGACACCGCTTTCAACGAACTAAGTACTTGTACTCCAGGTCCCTCTTTTCCACAGCACTCCTCAGGACGTTGCCATTTACTGTATAAATCCTACGTTGATTTGACTTTCCAAAGTGCAACAGCTCGCACTTATCTGCATTGAATTGCATTTGCCAATCCTCAGCCCACTTCCCCATCTGATCAAGATCTGATAACCTTCCTTGCTATCAACAATACCTCCTAATTTTGTATCATCCGCAAACTTACTAATCATGCTTTGTATATTCACATCCAGATAATGTATGTAAGTAATAAATAACAAAGGTCTCAGCAACGACTCTTGTGGCACACCACTTGTCACGGGCCTCCAGTTTGAGAAACAACTTTCAAGCATCACCCTCTGCTTCCTACCATCAAGCTAATTTTGAATCCAGTTTGCTAGCTCTCCCTGGGTCTCATGCGACCTAATCTTCATGATTAGCCTCCCGTGCGGGATCTTGTCGAAGACCTTATTAAAGTCCATATAGACAACATCCACTGCCCTTACCTCATCCATCCTCTTGGTTATCTCTTCGAAAAACTCTGAAAGCTTTGTCAGACACGACTTGCGCTCACAAATTCATACTGACTGTACCTAATCAGACCTTGACTCAGCTCTGCCCTCTGCAACTGGATCCTCAGCTTTCTGACCCATAGGCCGCAATCAGTGAAGATAGTTCACTGCACCTCCTCCACAATCACACCGAACACTGGAGCCCCCAAGGATGTGTCCTCAGCCCCCTACTGTACTCCCTGCACACCTACGACTGTGTGGCCAAACTCTGAATGAACGCCGTTTACAAGTTCACTGACAACACTACCATACTGGGGCAGACATCTAACAACAATAAGTCAAAATACAGAAAGGAGATGGAGGGTGTGGTGACATGGTACAATGAAAACAATCTATGTCGCAACGTCGGCAAAACTAAAGAACTGATAATTGACTACAGAAAGATTGGAGGAGAACACGGCCCCATCTACATCTCAGGTTGAGAGAGTGAAGAGCATCAAGTTCCTCGGAGTGGCGATAACCACGATCTGTCCTGGACTTCACATGTAAAAGCAGCAGTCAAGAAGGTACAACAACGCCTCTTCCTCATGCAGCTCAGGACATTTGGCATGTCCATAAGGTCCCTCACCAACTTCTACAGATGCACCATTGAAAGCATTTTGGATGTGTAACAGCCTGGTATGGCAACTGCTCTACCCAGGACTGTAAGAAACTACAGAAGGTGGTATGCACAGCCCAGGCTCTCTTTACACTGCCTGCTGCCACAGAAGATCGGCCAACATCATCAAAGACCTGTTGCACCCTGGTAATGCCCTCTTACAACCTCTTCTTTCAGGCATAAGATACAGAAGCCTGAGCACAAGCACAAGCAGGTTTAGGAACAGCTTCTTTCTGGCTGTTATCAGACTGTTGAATGGACTCCACCCTCAAATAATATAACCTGTATACCTCTGAGTCTTTTTAATCTGTACATCCTTTACTTGCTATGATTTTCCTGTACTGTTCGTAATCAAAGCTCTTCACAGTATTTTGATACACGTGACAATAAAGATCAAAAATGTTAGTTGATCCTGTCCCTCAGTATCCTCTTCAATAACTTGCCTACCACTGATGTCAGGCTCACTGGCCAGTAGTTCCCTGGCTTGTCTTTACTACCTTTCTTAAACAATGGAAAAACATTAGCCACCCTCCAGTCTTCTGGAACTTCACCAGTGACTAAAGGTGAAGCAAAAATCACTGCAAGTGCTTCTAATTTCTTCCCTAGCCTCCCACAACGTCTGAGGATGGACTTGATCAGGTGCAGGGGCTTTATCCACCTTAATTCGCTTTAAGGCTGCAAACACCTGCTCTCTGGTAAAATGTATGCAGTCCAAAAACTCCCCACTTGTTTCCCTTATTTCCTTAGCATCCATGATTCTCTCCTCAGTGTTGACTGAGGAGAAAGATTCATTAAAAATCTGTCCCATCTCCTGTGACTCCATACATAGATGGCCAAGCCATCTATTCTCTCCCTAGCCACTCTCTTGCTCTTAATATAGCTATAGAACCTCTTGGGATTATCTTTAACCTTAACTGCTAGATCCATCTCATACCCCCTCTTTGCTATTCTCATTTCTGTCTTATAAGCTGCTTCTACACTTTATTGTCATCTAGGCATTCACTTGAGCCCAATAGCTTAAACCCAGTGTATGCCGCCTTTTTATCTTGACCAGAGCCTCAATATCCCTCGTCAGCCAGGAATCCCTAAATCTGTCAGCATTTCCCTTCATCCTAACCGGATCATACTGACTCTTGATATCACACTTAAAAGTCTCCCATTTGCCAGTCATTCCTTTTACTTCAAACAGACTCACCCAGTGGACGTCTGCTAGATCCTGCCTAATGGCTCCAAAATTGGCCCTGCTCCAGTTTAGCACTTTAACCTGTGGACTGGTCCTGTCTCTTTCCATAACTGTTAAAGCTAAGAGAGTTATGGTCACTGGACCCAAACTGCTCTCCAGCTGACACTTCAGTCACTTGCCCGACCTTGTTTCCTAAAAGGAGGTCCAGTATTGCAACCTCCCAGATAGGGCTCTTTACATATTGATTTAGGAAACTTTCTTGGACACATCTAACAAATTCCACCCCATCCGGGACTTTCACACTCTGGGTGGCCCAGTCAATACAGGAGAAATTAAAATCTCCAACCCAGTACGATTATTATTCCTACAGGCATCTGCAATCTCTCTGCACATCTGCTCCGCTAATACCTGCTCGCTATTTGGGGAGGCTGTAATACAGTCCCAACAGTGAACATCCTCCTGTTGCCTCTAAGTTCCAACCATATAGCCTCATTTGATGACCCCTTAAGAATAACCTCTCTAAGCACTGTTGTTATGTCCTCACTTGTCAAAAGGGCAACTCCCCCTCCTCGCTTACTTGTACTTCTGTCATGCCTGTAGCCTGGAACATTGAACTGCCAGTCCTACCCTTCTCTCAGCCATGTTTCTGTTATGGCTACAGTACCCCAGTCCCCAGAGCCAATCCGTGCTCTGAGCTCATCTGCCTTAGCAGTCAGGCCTCGTGCGTTGTAATAAATGCACTTGAAACCAGAAGTCTTTCCCTCCCTTTACTGTGCCCCTGCTATCCTGAATAGTAAACTTGCTCTCGATGGCTAATGTATTTTCCCCTGACTTCTCGATGGCCCCTCTCTTATTCAGAGTCCCACCCCCTGCTAAACTAGTTTAAGCCCTCCCGGGTAACACTAACAAATTTCTCCACAAGGATATTGGACCCCCTCTGGTTCAAGTGCAACCTGTTCCTCTTGTACAGGTCACCTCTACCATAGAAGAGATCCCAATGACCCAAAAACTAAAAACCCTGCCCCCTACCCAGCTTCTCAGCCACCTATTCAACTGGCCTATCTTTCTATTTCTATCCTCACTGGCGCATGGCACTGGGAGTAATCCTGAGATCACTACCCTTGAGGTTCTGTTTTTTTGCTTTTTAACTTCTTACCTAGCTCCCTGTACTTGTTTCGCAGGACCCCATCCCTTTGATTACCTATGTTATTTGCACCGATGTGCACAATAACCTCTGGCTGTTCGCCCTCCCCCTTCAGAATGTTCTGCAACCGCTTTTCAAAACGTCCAGGATCTCTGAATATTCAGTTCACAGCTGCAGTCATCTTGCAATTAAGTCTCTATAATGGCTATCAGATCATAACCATTTATTTCTATTTGTACCACCAATTAGCTTATCGTGTTGCGATAACAAGTCTTTCGCTTTGTCTTTTCACCATTCTTTTCTACTCTGACCTTGTGTGCTGGTGTAATCTTAAGTTTGTTACTTTCATTCCTTTGTCACATTCTGGTGATCAGTATCCATGTCACTACCCTGCGCTATTGCCTTGTCCTGTTTCTTTACCTTTCTAAACATGCTATTGAGTTTAAATATCTTATCAATAACCCTATTTGTTTGATTCACCAGGATACTGGTCCCAGAATGTTACAGATGAAACCAGTCCTATTGGGACAGCTCTCTCTTTCCTTTGTACTGGTGTCAGTGTTCCATCGATCAAAATCCATTTCTCACACTTCAGTCTTTGAACCACATATTCAACTCTTTGATCTTATCAACTCTATGCCAATTTGCTTGTGGCTCAGATAATAACCCAGAGATGATTAGCTTTATTATTCTGTTTTCTAATTTAGTCCTTAGTTGCTCTCACTTTCTCACCAGAACTTCTAACCTAGGTGCCAGCAAGATGGGAAGAGCAATGTAGACCACAACAACTGCATATTTTGTTAATTTTTTTTTATTGATTTAACCTATTTTTCTTATCAACCTGTTCTGAGATGTTATTACACACTTCTGGAGCAGATAGGACTTGAACCCAGGCATCCTGGGCCAGTGGTGGGGACATACCACTGTGCCACAAGAGGGCCCCATCTTTCTGTTAGTATCTAATTCTGTTAATAGGTTGCTAAACAGCTGGGAGGTAATGCACCAGGTAAGTGAAGTAATTAGGTAATTGTATTCAAAAATATATGCCCCTTTGGTCTGTTTGATATTTATTTTAGTTTGATGCGTTTTTTTTCTTTCCGTTTTGCAAAAGTGTATAAAAAGGGTGTCATGGTACAGTGATACTGTCCCTACCTCTGATGCAGAAGATCTGTGTTCAAGTCCCACCTATCTGAGGGGTGCATCATAACATGTCCAAACAGATTGATTAATATAACTGCTCAAATGTTTATAAAAGAGAGTTGTCTAGAAGGTGGCTAAGTTTTGCAGTGTATGTAGTATGAGGACGTAAAAATCTAACTAGAAAGTTATAAAAATGAATCGCTGGGAAAGCGCAGCAGGTCTGGCAGCATCTGTGGAGAGAAATCAGAGTTGTGAGATGGGGTCACTGGACCCAAAACATTAACTCTGATTTCTCTCCACTGATGCTGCTCAATCTGCTGGGCACTTCCAACAATTTCTGTTTTCCTTTCTTATTTCCAGTATCCGCAGTTCTTTTGGTTTTTAACTAGGAAGTTATACTTGGACTTAATCTGAAAGTGTTTAACTTCTAGAACAACAGCTTCTCTTCCCAATCCCCAAGTTCCTCTCTTGCCCAAATAAGTGTCTTTAACCCTGGCATTGTGCAGGCAACTCTGCTTTTAGAGCTTATAGTATCAATTGCATAGGATTGTGTCTATTCCCCCAACTATGTTGCCTCCTCCCACTAATTAATTTTTACTCTGCCACCCTCCTGCCGTGCCACAGTGTTGTGGCCAGTTGTCTTCCGTCCTGCAGGGCCTGTATTAATCCATGTAGGCTGCAAGAACTTTGTAGCCATTGAACAAATACAGGAACCGAGGATTCCCATACCTACCCAACTTCTGGTCGTACCCTCCTGTCCCTGATCATGGACCAAATCTGACGTACTTAACCTAATGGTACTTAATTACCTCCTGGACTAAAGTATCCATCTAACTCACTCTATTTTCTGAAACTCAGATTCCACCTTGAGTGTAGTGAGTTGAAGTTCTTTGAGTTATTGATGTAGCTGTTACAAATCCACATGTTACCTGCCCTACCGAGTCCATTTGATTTTATTCAACTAATTAGGCCCTCAAACTTGGAATCATCAATCAAATGTTTATTTTTAGATTATAATTTAGATAATCTGATTTAATTTCTTAAATTTAGTTATTTGCTTTATCTTTGATTTAGCATACAGATTTAGTTTTGTTTGTTTAATGTTTATATATCAAGCAACATCTTGCACCCACACCTCACTGAATTCCCACGTTGCTGAAATTCCTTTGGACTGTGCTGAAATCTGCATGCAGATGAAGCCACTAATTTACTTGCTATTTTACTTATCTAATTGAAATTGTTAATTTTCTGACTCTTAGTTTAAGTAAATGCTGTATTTTAGAGAAGGAAAATGAAGAGACATACTTACCAAGCAGTCACTTACCTTCTTCTTTCATAGATAATATTTAAACCATTTTTTTCATACGCCATGAAAAGCAATATATCTGAGTAAGTTTGGCCATTTGTATATTAAATTTGCAGTTTTAAGTTAACATTTTTGCTTGTTTCCTCATAGCTATGAAGCTTATGACAGCATTGGTGAATGTGGCCTTAAACTTAAGTATACATCAGGATAACACACAAAGACAGTATGAGGCTGAGAGGAACAAAATGATAGGCAAACGAGCTAATGACAGATTGGAGTTACTTTTACAAAAAAGAAAGGAGGTAAGGCTGTTGGTGTGCTTTATTGCTTTTGCAAATGTTTCACATTAAGCCAAAAATCGCAATAAATTCAAATGATGTCTAAATATGCACAAAGCAGTAAGAGGACATTAGGCTTTTCTCGAACAGGATATACTGTAATTAATTGACACCGGATTAATCCATATCTGTATGTAATATTCTAGTGTTAATGTGAGCACCTAGATTTCTGTATTTGTAATATGATTGACCTACTTGAACAACAGCAGCCAGAAAATCTTAAAGATCTAGAAATGATTGATCCATAAGCAGAAATTGAACACTGAAAAATAATTCACTTTGTATACACCAGTTGACAACTTTCAGAAGCTGTTGGCTACAGTTTGGTGGTATCTGTTTGCGAACAACTTATATTTTTAGTATATTAAAATTGGGCATTATTCGAGATTATCTCTATTGATATGAAATAAACCTTGACCACTAATACATGAAACTTTTAAAAAAATATTGGACATCTTTGTACATAAAAGCCTGAAAATTGATAGCTCATCATTGTAAAACAAAGAGACAAGTTTCAATCATGCACTCTTCAATTGAAAAGAAGTTTAATGGTTAAGGAAATACATTAATGAGTTTGGAAGAACTGAGAGATAAAAGAGGGAGAGAAACAAGAAATGCTCAAGCCAATTTCCAAAAGAAAGCAAGTGAGTTAATTGACCTACAAGCCACTTGATATAAAACGGTTAAATGATGACAGTGAATAATCTCTGAGATGATCGAAGAAATTAGAAATATGTAGGATAGAATAGCAATTTATTGTTGTGTGTATTTTTGCGTCGCCATACCACAGCGCCTAAATTAATGACAGCAGGCATAAATAAGGGAAAAAAAGTTCATCACAGTTCAATTAACAACTCCTGGGTTTGGGGTACACTGAAAAACCGGGCTGAAACCGCCATGCAGGGCTGGCTCAAGACCGCCACGCCAGGAGTAGATGCCCATGCTGGACCATTGGAAGACTGGGAAATCTCCAAAGCAAGAACGAGACCTCCATGCTGGGACTAGACTTTGATGCCAGGCTGCTGTAATATCCGGAAGCAGCAGAAGAAGACCTCTACAATGGAATGCAATCTCCACGTCAGTACAGAAGTGCGATTCCAGGCTGAGGCTGCTCCTCCCAGACAAGATGGCCACACTCAGAGACGGCCTCCCCAGGAGATCACCCTGCCAGGCCTATACTGCCATTCCGAGCCATTGGAAGCCACCTCATCACAGGGCCTGGCCTGAGAGAAGACAATTTGCACCAAAGTTGTTAACAGATGGTAAGGTACCACAATAAATGGAAACATTAAAAAAAACATCGAAAGAAAAATGGGAAAATTGGACAGAGCATACAAGCGCTGGGCTCCTGGGCTGAGGAGCCTGTAACTCCGCTGCCTTCTTTGTTCAAGGGTGAAAGAAATAAAGCCACAAAATATAAAAGTAGATGAACAAATCTGCAATTCATTTGGAAATAAAGCAAAAGTGCTGCTAAGGCACATTTTAAGGTGTAAACAATTGGCTGTGGCTTAAAGGACTTATATGGTTGCTATTCTGGACGTCTTCATTCGACCCTTGTATGACTGACCTCTCTTGTGATATATCACATTAGCTTCCTCTCCTGTTCTCACTCCAACATCGCACCCTTTGCTGTATGCTGCAGCCCAAGTTTAACTGTTCATGGGTACAAAACTTGAATGCGCTGACCTGAGATATCCAAAATTGCGTCGGTGGTACACATGCACATTTTCGGTTGCAAGTTACACTGGACACAGTATTGATGAACACTTGCTAAAACTGTACAGTACAGGTCGATGATAATATCAGTCAGAGGATAGTACAAATTTGGTGCCAGCATTAACACTTTGCTGCTAAACTCTCAGCTGACACCTTTGCTTTATCAAGTTTGGCTAAACACATGTTCAGGAATAGGAAGGAGCTCTATTATTTAAATAGATCATTCACTAAATTCAGGTGTTTTGCTGACATGAGTTCTTATGCAATGATTATACAAGTCCTTGCATTCTTGGAGACTATAGGGAATGGTGTGGCAAATGCTGAAGGACTTTGTCCTGAAATCAGTGTTTCTTCACAAACAAATTCCTCCCTGATGTACATGAAATAGCCAGCGTTCTACCTGGAATTCGGTGTGACTGGGAAAATGCAAGAAGAAGGTGCGGAAGGACTCTCAGGAGACCGCATCTGTTCAGGCTTGGGCGGCATGGTGGCTCAGTGGTTAGCACTGCTGCCTCACAGCGCCAGGGACCCAGGTTCGATTCCACCCAAGTGTGACTGTCTATGTGGATTTTAGGGGTGGCACGGTGGCTCAGTGGTTAGCACTGCTGCCTCACAGCGCCAGCAACCTGGGTTCGATTCCACCCTCGGGCAACTGTCTGTGTGGAGGGTTTGCACATTCTCCCCGTGTCTGCGTGGCTTTCCTCCCACAGTCCAAAAATGTGCAGGTTAGGTAAATTGTCTATGCTAAATTGCTCAGTGTTCAGGGATGTGTGGATTGGGTCGGTTGCGGGGGTTGGGTCTAGGTGGGATGGTCTGGGGCTCAGTGTGGACTTGTTGGGCCGAGGGGCCTGTTTTCACACTGTAGGGATTCTATGATTCTATGAACCTCCACATAATGGGATAATTTATCCTCAATAAGTTCAACCTACATATGAACATAATAGATATATGAATTAGGGGCAAATGTAGGTCATTCAGCTCCTGAAACCTTCTCCACCATTTGGTAAGATCATGGCTGGTCTGATTGTGGCCTCACACCTACTTTCCTTTGCTTTGATAACTTCTGTTGATTTCCTTAGGATCTATCTAGTTCACCCTTAAAAATATTCAATTACCCTGTCTCCTCTATTCTCTGAAGAACAGAATTCCACAGACTAATGATTCTCAGAGACAGTTTAAAATGAAGCTATATCCCCTTGTTCAATTTTTTTTTAACAAGGGGAAAAATCCTGTCAGCATCTAACCTGTCAAACCTCCCCAAGATTGTATATATTTCGATAAGATCCCCTCTCATTTTTCTAAACTCCAATCTATACAGGTCCAGCCTGTGCTAATCTTCCTCATTTAGCTAACCATTTTATCCTCAGGATCAATCAAGTGAACCTTTCTCTGAAATGCTTCTGTGCAGTTGATTTTTTTTTGTGTGTAAGGAGACCAAAATTTTACACAATATTCTAGGTGTGTGTCTCACCAAAGTCATGTACAACTGTAGCAAAAGCTATACTCCATTTCTGTTTTGCTTGTATTTGCCTTCCTAATCACTTGATGCACTTGTATACTAATTTGTGATTCATGTACCAAGACACCAAGATCTTTATGTACTAAAGAGTTATGTAATCTTTTACTAGTCTGCCTTCTCATTTTCCCACATTATAATTCCGACAGCCAAATCTTTCGTCACTTTACTAAAATCCTATCAAAGTTCTTTATCATTTATTTCCTTGTGTAAGTAGCCAATTTAGCAACCATGTCTTTGGTTCTTTCATCCAATCATTGATATAAATTGTGTGTAGTTGAGTTCCCAGCACTGAGCCTTGTGGCACTCCCCTAGTTTCAGCTTGTGAACCTGTGAAGACAGTTTTAACTGATGTCGTGATGAAATGGCTGAAAGATCAAACAATGATCACAACAAAGTCTATCAGTGATCAAGACCTTGGGAGCACAGTAAAGAAGAGCGAGTATGGGTGATAATGTGTGAAGACTGAGAGAGAATAGGACAGATATGTCAGAGTTTTTATGTGCAGTCTCTAGAAAAATGCCATCAGATTGGAAAATAATGAATTTAACCCTTCTATTCAAGAAAGGAGGGTGACAGTGACAGAAACAGAAACTGCAGGGCAGTTTGCCTAACATGTGTCATAAGGAAGAGCAAGCATCCCTTAAGAAGTTGCAGTAAGGCACTTGCAAAGTCCTGATGCAAAAGTGCAGAATCAACATGATTTTGTGATGGGAAAATCACGTTTAACTGAATTATTAGAGTTCTTTGAGGAAGTAACAAGTAATGTGGTTAAAGAGGAACCTGTAGATTTGGTGTACTTGAAATTCCAAGAGGCATTTAGTCAGGTAGCACATCAAAGGGTACTGTGTTAAATCAGAACTAATGGTGTAAGGGGTACAACAATCACAAATAGAGAATTGGTTAGCTTTCAAGAAGCTGAGAATCGGTATAGATGGACCATTTTCAGGTTCACAGTAAAGGCCTATCTAGCATAGAACCAGCATTGCCACTGTTTTGCAGATTTAGCTTGACAATGTCTAGCATTATGGTGTTTATCCTCACTCGGCAAAAACTGCCTTTCTCCATGCAATTTGGAATATAGCCAGAAGCCACCATACTGCATATTTAACTTCTTCGTCAAACTTCTCCCCTACCTTCATTTCTTGAATCAGGTTTAAGAAGCTCACAGTTTACAATTGAGACCATCCTTGCAACCACCGATCCCGTAAGCTCTCCTTTCTCCTCTTTTCCACTTTTATCTCCAATCCACATCCTCTAACCATGCAAACTGAAACTTGTTTCACTTTCAAAATCAATCACCCCACTCCTAAAAATAAATTATTCTCAGTCCATCTCTTCTACTTAACTACTTCCTAACTTTAAACTTTCATTCCTCTGTAAGGGCCTAAGACATGTCATTGCCATACATATCAGCCTTCAACTCTTCAAAATTACCCTGCCAGTTTAGCTTCAATCTTACCCGTGAATCAACTCTGGCCAAATAATGAAGTTTACACCTTCTGGGATCAAAATTATGGTGTGTTATTCCTTCTCGATCTCTGTTATAATTTTTGTGAGTAGCATTTCATTCTCATAATACCTTCTTTATAATAAAACGAAGTAAAACTGTTGTGTTGTCCCAAAGAGCTCTGCATGTTTTTAAATCCGCAAAAATGTTGTCTTGAGTTCTGCTAGGATTTGTACTACATATCTTTTCCTCTTTTTTTGTCACCGTGCTGCCCCTTTGTAA